AAAAAAAAAAAAAAAAAAAAGTTGAAGAAAAGTTTATTTGTTCTTGGTTTGCGTTTGTAGTAGGAAAGCCGTAAGCAAGAAGGTCTAGCCAAGAAGTAGGGAATTGGGCTGATCCAGGATAGACTGTGGCCAGATGTTACTGTGAAGGGACAAGAAGGCAAAGGCAGGTCAGAGCGCAGACAAGCAGGTTGCAGAGATGAGCTGCGGCATCTCAGCTGGTCAGGAAAAAAGGAGCTTGATGGATTGCAAGAGCACGAAGTGGTCAGGAAGGGAATGAAAGGAGGGGCCTTGTTTTCAGAGAAGGTGGGACATTGGCTTTGGAGAGTTGACAGATGGAACCACAGAAAGTGCATACATGCACACATATATACCCAGGGAGGTCTGGATGGATACTTATTGACATGTCAAAAATTCTGGGTGCTTTTTGTTTTTACTTTTGCCCGTCTGCTTTTCTAATTTATCTTCAATTAATTTGTATTGCTTATAAAATAAGAAAACCCACAATGAGAATTACTAAGCCACTCAGAAGTGAAGCAGCCCCAGGTAATGACAAGGTCCAGGTACGGTCCTGGATGTGGGTGGCTGCCGTGGGTTGGAGAAAGGGCTTTGGAGTTAGGGAGGTAAAGCAGCATGAAGGTGTGACATTGGTTAGGTAGTCCTCGGGAACACTGGTGTCATGGTAGGTGATGGCACGTGGCACTCTTCAGCCAGTGCAGTGAGGGGGAACTGAGCAGGAGGTCAGGAGGGCCAGGGAGGAGGAAGAACAGAAAGTGATGTCGTAGAAAGTCTTGAGCCTTTCCTTTCCTCCTCCTCCTTCAGTCACAGCTTCCCATGCGTACACCACCTCACCCCTGCAATGAGGCGGTGGCATGTTAGCTGGTCTTTTCTCACCTGTTCTTCTCTCTAATTCATCCTGCCCACAGCTGTTAGAGTAACCTTCCTTCAGCACTTTTAAAAAAACTTCTGCCCTTGCTCAATAACCGATAATAGGTCTCAGTTGCTTATTTAAAATAGGATTTGTTAAAGCTCTTGCCAACCTAGGTTCCCTGCCCCCTACTTTCAGTACTCTCTGAGCTGCTGTTTCTGTAAAATGAAGGTATTGCTCTCTGCCTTGCATATTGGAATGAATTAATGGAAGAAAAGGTGCTTTAGAAAGAATTATTTCTGGCTGGGTACAGTGGCTCATGCCTGTAACCCCAGCACTTTGGGAGGCCAAGGCAGGAGGATCACTTGAGGCTGGGAGTTTGAGACCAGCCTGGGCAACATGGCAAGACCCTCTCTCTACAAAAAATAAAAAATTTAGCCAGGCATGATGGCATATGCCTGTAGTCCCAGCTACTCGGGAGGCCGAGATGGGAAGACCACTTGAGCCAAGAAGTTCGAGGCTGCAGTGAGCTATGATTGTACCACTGCACTTCAGCCTGGGCAACAGAGCGAGACCCTGTCTCTGAAAAAAAAGAAAACAAAAGAAAGAATTATTTCTCATTGCAACCTAATTTCTTAATAGTCCCTAATTGAGTCTTCCACTTCAGTAGTTTTTTTTAAAAAAACTTTTTATTTTGAAATAATTGTAGATTAACAGACAGTTGCAAAGAAATGTACAAGAGAAGTCCCATGCGCCCTTCTCCCAGTGTAAACGTCTCACACAATTATAGTACAATATAAAAACCAAGAAATTGATGTTGGTACAATCTATAGAGCTTATTCAGATTTCACCACTTACACATGCACTCACTATTTGTGTGTGTGTGTGTGTGGCTCTGTGCGATTTTATCACATATGTAGCCTTGCCTAACCATACTCACAACCAAGATCACAACTGTACCATCACCACAAGTCTCCCTTGTGTTACTCCCTTGTGGCCACACCCATTCCCTCCTGTCCCTAACTTCTGGCAACCATCCTTCTCCATCTCCACAGTTACGCTATTTCATGGATGTCATCTCAGTGGATTCATGCAGTATATATCCTTTTGAGATTGGCTTTATTCATTGACATGATTCCCTTGATGGTTTTCCACTTCAGTATTTTTTTAAGAGATTAATATTGTATTGTCTTCACTATGAGACTTGTTCATTTCTACCTCTGTCTTTGTACGTGCCATTTTCCTCTCCTAGAATACCCTCCACCAACCCTCTCATCAATCTGGATTCATTTCCTTCCTCAGAGTGTGTGTCACTGCTCTGTGCCCAAACCCATGGGACTCATCTCTGTTCCCTTGCCAATTATGTATATATCTCATACCATATCATTTTCCACTTGCAGGTAGAAGGCAGGGACCGTGCCCAGCTTTTCTTTATATTCCCAGCATCTAGTACAGTGCCTGAAATGTAGGAGGTACTCAGCAAATAATTTTGGGGATGAATGAATGATTGAAGTTGCTCTGTTGGGTTCTGATATTGTGTCTTGAGAATGAGTTGTCTTTCCAACTCGACTCTAAACTGGCTTGTAAACTTGAAAGCAGCAACTCCATTCCATTTATTAGTATACGCTACGTCCTAGCTAGGGTCACCATAAATGTTTGTATGTGGCTTCAATGAGCGTGTGCCTTTGTGTATGTTGGGATGAGGTGAGGGCGTAAGTGTTTGTGGGCTGGTTTCCCAGCTGCCCAGCCTGACTTCCCACAGTCAGCAGGATGGACCTGGAGATGTCGGGGCTGAAGACCCTGGAGCATGTGGCAGTGACAGTCTCCATCACTCACCCACGGCGCGGCAGCTTGGAACTGAAACTGGTTTGCCCCAGTGGCATGATGTCCCTTATCGGCGCCCCTCGCAGCATGGACTCGTACGTACACTTGCCTATGGCCCTCTGGGCTCTCTTTGCAGCAAGAGCCTTTCCAAGGAAAAGATGTGGGAGAAGTGGATACTGGCACTGTCCTAAGCTGCTGTGGCACGGCCGTCCCTGGCAGCCGGAAGCCATTTAGCACGTGCTTTCTTCAAGTGCTCACGGTGTGCCGGGCACTACACTTTACACCCATTTTCTCTAATCCTTGTAAGAACCCTGCCCGGTACACTTTGTAACCTCCTTTCACAACCGAGGACTCAAGTCACAGAGCTAGTAAGTGCCTGAGAGAGTAAGAAAGAACCTGGATCTGTGGACCTCCCGAGTCTGTGCTCTCACGGTGCCTGCTTTTTCCACTACACCACATTGACACAGGTCCCTCCTTCCATGAGACCCCAGGGGCAAGGGACGGCACTTGAGGACCCCTCGTGGCACCTTTCCAAATGGCTGTAGCTCATTTCCGTGGCCACTGCATTAAGAAAAGAATGTTTCTGGAAGAAGGGGCGGCTCCCTGCACCAGGCCTTCCACGTTTCCTGCTGTGCTCTTTCCCCAGGGATCCCAACGGCTTCAACGACTGGACCTTCTCCACTGTGCGATGCTGGGGGGAGAGGGCAAAAGGCGTCTACAGGCTGGTTGTCAGGGATGTAGGTGAGCCTCCCTGCCCTTCCGCCAGGGCCCTGCCTTTCCTGCTCGTCGTCTGCTCCCTCTGGATCTTAGAGTCCCCACAGAAGGTGTCCCATGTGGAATGCATAGGGCTGCCATTGGACAAGAGGGTTGATGCCAAGAAGTATGCCCCATCCAGAACATGGGCATTGATACCTAAAACTGTTCATTTATACTACCTCTCATATTCCTTGGAGAAGTGACTGATCCATTTTTCCTCAGGATAGCAACAAAAATTCCTTGTTGAAACCACATTTCAAGTCCTTTCACATATAACCATCCTTCGGCCAGCCCTGGTAGGCAGGTAAGGGCAGGACTCATTTTCACCATTTCTTTTTTTTTTTGAAAAACTGGCCCAGAGGTTTGAAGTGACTTGTGGAAGGTCTCAGTATCAGTGACTATAAAGTATCTTTGATATCAACACAGAGACTGTAAATTGAGCCCAACCCTCCCAACTTCCATCAAGTTAGGTGTTCACTAGACCAGTGGTTTTTAAACCTTCCTTTAATTTAGGAGAAAGACATTTTTTTTTTTTTTCAAGCAGAATCCCAGCTGCAGCCCCAGAATATGAAAGATAAAGGCAAAACTTCTCTGCTGTGGAGTAGAATCTTTCAACTCTCCTTTCCATTCCTGCGGGTACCCAGCGAGACACTTCTGCAGAGCGCTGGGATCAGTGGGACGCAGTTAGATAGCTGCTACCGCAGACCGTGCGGTCTCAGCCCCTTTGGGTGGCGGGGCGGGCAGGGCCTCTGCTGTTTGGCATGGCCAGCAGAAGGGCTGGCTCATGACTGCCCCGCTTGCTGCCCTAGGAGATGAGTCACTCCAGGTGGGCATCCTCCGGCAGTGGCAGCTGACCCTGTATGGCTCTGTGTGGAGTCCCGTAGACATCAGGGACAGACAAAGGTAGGTATAGCCACATGTGTCAGAGAGTAGCAACTCGTGGGGGCTGGGGAAAGGGCTACCTAGGGAGCCCCGTCTCCCTCTGAACCCCAGCTGTGCTTCCCAGCTCCAGCCTCAAGCCGGTAGACAGAGCCCTGGGCTGGCAGCCCCCAGTGTGCCCCTCCCCCTTTCGCTGTGGGGCTTCGCTCCCTTCAGCCGTGAGGTAGGAGGATGGGTGAGGGCAGGTGGTGTGGGAACCATGTTCGGTAGGGCACCCTTTCCTTCTCCACAGGCTGATAGAAAGCGCCATGAGTGGAAAATACCTGCACGATAGCTTTGCTCTGCCCTGCCCACCTGGGCTGAAAATTCCTGAGGAAGATGGTTACACCATCACCCCCAACACCCTCAAGGTACTAGGGCCACGACTCAAGCTACAGACAGACAAGACTGTCCTGGGGAAGTTGGTCCTTGTTGTGATACTCAAGGTGACCTGGGGAATGAAGGACTGGGGAGCTGGGTCCCAGCAGTGGTGTCACAGCCTTGCTCCTACTCTGCGAGCTAACTCAGGCTTTGTGGGGGGAGGGGACGACACGAGTGGTTGGGGTGGGAGAGGCCGTCCCAGAAGGGGAGAGACTTTCCGAGTCCAGAGTTCTGGGCTGAGAGATGCTACAGTCCCTCACATAGGTGCTTGGCTTTTCTGCAGACGCTGGTGCTGATAGGCTTTTTTACTGTCTTCTGGACCATCTACTACATGCTGGAAATATATTTGAGCCAGAGGCATGTGGCATCCAAGCCACTTTGTAGGAGTGGACCCTGCCACTGGCCCCAACGGAGCCGAAAAGCCAGGGAGGAGGGGACAGAGCTAGAATCAGTGCCACTTTGCAACCGCAAGGATGTAGACGGCGTGGAAGCAGAGAGTGGGGGCCTTCCCACTACCTCTGGCCTCCTCGCCCCAGACCTGCTGGATGAAGGGGACTGGACCCTGTCCCAGAACAACAGGAGTGCCCTGGACTGCCCTCACCAGCACCGACCCATAGACCTGTTACAGGGGAAGGAGGAGCAGATCTGCTGACCTCAGGGTCTCACAGACTTGGTGTGGGACAGGCTCTTGCCTCCCCAAAGTGGGAAAGTTTACAAAGCTGCTCCCAGCTTTCCGGCGCTCTGGCGGGAAAGCAGTCCTGCTGCTTACATCTGGAATGTGAGGCCTAAACAGCATCCTCTAACTGCTCAAGGAGGTGAGGGCCTTCTTAAGGTACAAGTGGCAGAGGATTGTTGCCAGAGAACGGTCTGGTGAGAGCCAGTATCTTCTCCGACTGAACAAGAGGTTTTGGTGAGAAGGTCTTGGACAAGACATTGGTGCGCCCTTTGTGGGGCTCTATCCTAATTTCTCTTGGGCGAACCAGTTGTCTAGGTTCCCCCATGCGTGGGGGGCTCCCAGACCATGCATGGGTTGAGAAGGTGCTGCCATGGCCAGGAGAGCATCGCAACAGAAATATCACTGGGGTCCCTTGGGAAGAGGATTTAGGGCTGGAGGCTGGGAAGCGTCCCTAGACATGCCTGTCCTGAAAGCAGCTGCTTCCATTATCCGTTCCCTAGACCCCCGTCAGAAGCCAACCTTGAAAGCACCCCGCTCCTTCACCATCACCCTCCCCTTTGTCCTTCTGAAGGGCACAGTGGGGATGGGCGTGGCTCCCCAGGGCCCGCCCTGCTTCAGGAGGGACTCCTGCGGCAGGACTGCAGAGCAGGCGTCAGACACTGTGTTTCAGGGGACAGCCGTGGGGCCACTGCCACTGACTCCAGTTCTGCAACCACCCTGTCTGCTTCTGCAAAGTGCTCAGGGAAATGGCCTTTCTCCCGGAGGTCAGCTGTCTGCCTCGCAGGCCGTGACACTTCCTCCCTTTCGTGGCCTCCCATGCTAGTCAGCTGATCTGAATTTTTTTTTTAATGCTTAAGATTTGGTTTTCTCTTTTCATAGCAACATTTTGTTGAATTTTTTTCTGCACAGCTTTTCCAAAATAAAAACCTTCCAAACAATTCTGCCGCCCCCATCTCTCCTTCCCTCTGCCTCCCCAAAGCTAACGCAGGTTGCCGCGTGGCTTCTCTTTCCCTTCAGTCCCTGAGCCTCACTCTCCTTTTCCACGGCCTGGTTCCTCGGAAAGAATCAGACCCTCCTGGAGTCTCGGAGCGTGAAGAGTCCTTCAGAGGACGGCGGCCAGGAACACACATAAACCCAAGATACCCGCCTGTTCCCTGCTCAGATTTCCTGGGACCATAACGGAAGTGACTAGGGCAAAGCAAACTCTGCCAGCCAGGCCTGAGAAAAGATTGATGTAAATATATATTTTTTTCCTTTTTGAATTTCAACCCCAAAAATATTCCAGGAAAAGATAGAGGGAGGCTGAGCTGCGTCTCCTTCAATGGGCTTTTGCTGCCAAGGAGGACGGTGGACTTGCCCCACCCCCAGGCCACCCCCAGCCCACTTTCCCCCCAGCTTAGCCCAGGGGAGAGATAGGGTGGCAGGGGCAGTTGGGAGGGAGGGGCCAGGGCAGTGGTGCTTTGGGGTAAGAAGTTGGGCTGAGGCTGGGGAGGCGGGAAGGAGCTGCCCATGTGCAGTCCCCTTTGCTCAGTGACAGAACCTCAAAGCTTGGTCAGGGCTGAAGGAGCTACACAAGTGTGGGTGAGGCAGGCTAAGCAATGGCTGCAGCGGACGGGCTGGGGAGGGGCAGGGCTCGGAACTGGCCCTCCCCGCTCTAACTGATGATCTGCCGAGGTCGTCCGTAGCCTGTCATGCCGGCCTGGGAGGCCCCTCTGTTGCTGCCCATCTGAAGGCCGATGACATGCTTTCCCTCCTGCAGTTGGCTCTCTGTGAATTCCCTCTTATGTTCCTGTGCTTTCCTGGAAGAGGAGGAATCAGGATAAAGACTTGCCAGGACTGTGTGTTTTCCACCTACTTTCTGATCCCCCTGCTGCTTCCTAGCCAATCCCAGCCCCTTCCCATATTCACTTGACTTTTGTCCTTAATCTAGCTTGCCCCCTGGGCTAGGGAGACCGGGGGCACACAGGTGGGGAGAAAGGCAGGAGTGGAGAAGTATCGGGCTCCTTTCGCCCCCACCCTAGACCTTCACTCCGCCCCTTCCTGGCTGTCTCTCACCCCCGCAGTGGGTTGGCCACGCGGCCTCCCAGCTGCCAGAGGCCCAAGCGCAGGGAAGCCCTGCCGCCACGTACTTCATAAACCAGTTGGGATCTCCGCGGTAGTGCCCGTCATTCTTGGTCACTGCCAAGCTGCCCAAAGCCATCAGGGTCCTCTGCACTGCTGCCATGTCTTTGCCTGTGAGAAGAAAGAGGTGAGCAGGGACAAACGTCCAGACTGTATAAAACAGGACCCAAGCCAGGGCCTGCCCTGGCTCTCACAGAAAAATGGCCAAACAAGGGGTAAGAGTTGTCCCTGAGTCAAAGGAATCTTCAGTGGATCCTGCAGCAGACGCTTGGGAGTGCGGTGTGGGGTTCTCTTGGCATGTCCCACCCCTGCTGTGCGCAGACGAGCAAACCTCTGGTGGTGGCATATTTTGATCATTCCCTCTGCCTGCCTCAGCATCCTGTCCTCCACCTGCCCACCCGCAGCCCCTTTTTCCTTGTACCTTCAAAGAGGTCCACAGTCTGGAACATGTCAGTCTTGATGACCCCGTAGTCCTCAGCTGCCTTTAGGAACTGAGCCACCTGCTCCATCTGCTTGAAGACCATGGAGGGTGGGTTCTCGGGTACCTTCACAGGCTTGGAGCCATCGGGATACAGGCTGTTCACCAGCTTGCTCAGAATCTGCCAGGCACAGGACACAGCTTGGTACTCAGGTCAGGGGCCTGCCCCATGACTCTCAGGGTGGCACAACCCAGCCCCCCTTCCCAGCGTTCCACTCACCACGCCGTTCTTCAGCCAGACCTGGAAGCCCAGGCGCCCACGGTCTGGGCGACCCACATCAGGGCCACACTGCACTATGATCCACTCCACCAGCCGTTCCTCCAGCTCCTCGTCATACTTCTTCTCAATCTTGGATTGCACTTCACGGCTCATGCCATAGGAAGGACCCTTGTTGGCCATGTTGGGGGAGAGCTAAGGCAGGATGGGGTGGAGGAGGGAGAGGGTTAGAGGGTCAGGGAGCAGCTCTGCTTTCACCTGTGCCAGGTGGGCCTTCTGGCCCTGTGCAGGGTACCCAGTCATCCTAGACACTTATCACAGCACTGCCCATCCGGGCCAGGTTCCTCGCCTCTGTCCAGAGGCCTCTCTGAACTTGAACACCAGGAAACAGGATACAAGATCTTTGGAGGTCTAGAACAGGGGTCAGTAAACATTTTTGTGAAGGACCAAACAGTAAATAGTTTAGACTTTGCAGGCCATATGGTCTCTGCTGTTGTAGCTTGAAAGCAGCTATAGACAATATGCAAACAAGTGAGTGTGGCTTTGTTCCAATAAAACTTTATTTAGAAAAATAGCCAACAGGCTAGACTTGGCCTACGGGCCAATCTCTGGTCTAGAGCATTCTTTCTTCACCAAGACTGGCCACAGAGGCACTGGAGAGGCCTTCCAGAGTCCACATGGCGTCCTCAAATAATACCAGCAGGTGTCTTTGTCCAGGTAGGTGTGAAGTGGGTTACTGCTTCTACCTCGAGGAACAGTTACCTCAAACTGTCACTTGACCCTCTAGCACAGAAGCTGGGACTCCAGAACTCCATCTCTGCCAGGTCAGCTGAGCCTCTGGCCAGCAGCTGAAGAGGCTCAAACTTACCCACCCCTGACAAGTCACCCCTGGAAGTCACCAAAGCCCAAGAGCTCTTGGCAAAGAAGATGCATTTTCTCAGATGAGAGTGGTATACCCATCAACTTTTCCTCCTGCCCTCAGGCTCTTGGCCACTGGAGTAGCTTGAGTGCCCAAGAAGTCAGAGTCCCCTAGGGATATTCCAAAGCCAAGAATCTGCCAACCAGAGCATGGGAAGCCCCGCCCTGTCAGCAGTTGCCATTGCGAGGGCCTGGGCCTGGTGCTGCTCGGGAGAGCCCCACTAATGGAGGGGCGAGGCTGGGGGAGCAGGCCCATGCGGGGATAGACGGGGGTGTGGCTGGTCAAGAGGAGCCTGGCCTGGCCACAGCGGTCACCCTGGGGTGGGGTGTCCCTTCTGCCCAGTGTTTGTCTGAAGAGCCTTCCGAAAGAGACACCCCATCGCCTGGCCTCAGAGAGGTCAGAGGTTGGGAGGGGACAGTGGCGTGAGGACGCAGGCAGGCAGCATGCTCCCCCGGCTCCCTCTCTTGTGAGAGCTGAGACCCTTCCCCACCCCCGCCCAGCCCCCAGGGGAAGTAGGGTGAACACTGTCACTCACACTGGCGCAGGACAGCTGCCAACTCCACTTTCCTGTCCTTCCTTTCCCCATGGCTGACCAGCTTTCTGAGCTCGAGTTCCCCATGTGGGAAGTGGGGATTATGTCATTGATCTAAGAGGGCTGTGGAAATGAGAGTGTCTGTGAACTACCCCATATGCTGCCTGTCCCTTAGCAGAGCTCCTCGAAGTGCCAGTTGGTCTGCTGCCCAGAGCCAGTCTCCTGCTAATGACCTGGGAGGGAGCCATCCCTTGACTGAGAAGTAAAAATCCATAAGTGTCTCCCCCACTCCAGCCTCCGCCCCTTCTGAAATCATTCCCTGAGCAGACAACAAAGTTTGAGAGAAAAATCACTAGATGGACTCCGCTCAATGCCAGCCACCGGGCAACTCACTTCTCTCTGCATCTGTGTCCTTATTTGTAAAGCGGGGGTTGGACCACCTCTGAGGACGCGGTTCTCTGGGCAGTCCCTGGCCCCTCCACCACCTCTCCCAGCCAGTGATACCAGGGAGCCCCGAGGCAGTGTTCTGTCCCACTGTTCAGCTATAGCCACGTGCCACCCCTCCCCCCTGCCCCATTCTATGTCCCACCCCCACTTCCCAACCGCCCAAGAACCCCTGGGCAAAGAGCTGTGGTCAAAGTCCCCAAGTCAGCTGGGACGAGGTGACTTCAGCCAGTCCTGTGTCCTGGCCTACACCCCAGCCTCTGTCTCCGCCTTCATCCACCATCCCAGACAGGCACCCACCACCTTCTCTCTCCCATCCTGCTCGGATCCCGCACCCCACCCACCCTCACAGCCGCCTTCCCCTCCCTCACCACCTCCTGCAGCAAGAGGATGGAAGGAGCATGTCCCCCCCACTCCCAGCTTTCAGTCTTGGGAGGTTCAGAACAGACACTACAAGTCAAAGTGACAAGGCTCGTGGTGACAAGCACACAACGTTGCGGCTCCTCCATCTAGAGACAATATTGGGATTTCTGGCAGAGCAAGGGGGGGGGTGAAACACACACCTCCCCCACCCAGCGCCGCCATCCTTCCCCTTCTTCCTCCTGGGGAGGGTCTGAAAGCGAGAGTGCCGGGAAATGCCTCAGAGTCCTCTGACGAAGACCTCCCAGGCTCACTTGGAGCCGTCGTGGAGAGGAGAGAGAGGACGATGGCCACAGGGCAGCCCATCCAGGGACGTATCGAGATAAAGGCTCCCGGGATAGCATGGACAGCAAGGGTCACGAGGCTGGGCTCTGACCCTCCTGCCCTGTGGCTCCTGGCAGGGCCCCGCCCATGCGCTGCCCAGTGGGTGAGGCTGGGCAGTGGAGAAAGAACAAAGTCCAGCTACAAAGGAACAGGTGGCACCTCCTACTGGCAGGAGCCCAGAACAAACGAGCAGAACCAGGGGTCCGTCCAGGACTGCCGAGCCCCCTCTGTGTGCATGAGTAGGAGTGGGCACATCTGGGTCTCTGAGGGGGCATGCGGGTGGCTCATCTCAACTCTGGGGACGAAGAATGGCCCTGGTACATATATGCATGCCACGCTCCCTTCTGTCCTCTCCATAGTGACCATGAAGGGGAACCAGCAAGGGTCCCAGGGCTGCCCCGCCCCCACTCCAAAGCTCCTCCTTGGCACTACTCCCCCCACTCCCTGTCCACAGAGGGGGTGACCTCCCACTCGCAGAGGGTGGGCCGGAAGGGCAGCTCTCTCGCCCATCCCTGCACCCCGCCAGCCCACACTATTCCTAATACAAGAGTTCTGTGGTCCTTCACGTTGCCTCAGGGGCTGTCCCAGGCCCAAGACCACCCTCCGGCACAGGTGCACTCACACACCTCCTCCCCCGCTTGGGGGTCCTCCTACGGGGCCGACAGACCACGCAGCCTTGGCCTAACCAGACAAGTTTTTGA